TTGTGCTCTGCCAAAATTTGTAGAAACAAACAACGTATAAAACCTTTGTGATTAAGAATGCAATATGACATAACAAATTATATTCATATTCTGTTAATTATTAACTTTGAGAATTGTAATGAAACTTAATTGTTCTATAATGTTATATTACGTATTCTGTGAGCGAAATGGAGCTGAAATACTTCGTTCGCAGAGCATTCTATTCCCTGTACTTTTGAGATGTACAATGATGTTATGGCATATGGGGCCCAGACAATCACTTTCAGAAGTTGTTGGGACACATGTAGTTTTAGCTTTTAAGTGGATCATTATAGTTTTTTACACACAATACCGCTCCCCTCCCCCTCCCCCCCACCCCAATCAATGTCGTTTAAACCAAAACACATCAAGCCCGACGAGAAATGGGACGCAACATTGAACAGGGGGCAGGGGGATTGTCGTTTGATGAAATTCAAAGGTTTTGTGGCATCTGTCCCAAGACTTTTGAAACTGATTGTAGTCTTGTTCGAATCACTATCAAAGACACTATTTAGAGTGTCATTTTTTAGCTATATCTTCCAATTTGCATCTTTATCACGGTATTTCCATTTCTGGTTCGACTGTGAGCTAATCCCAACCGGAAATACAATTTCAAAAGGTCAAAACAATGTGACGTTTCTATCGTATGACTCTGGAAATGCCAGAAATCGATTCTAAAGGTAAAAGTGCATTATACGTGTCATTTTTTTATGTCATCCGGCTACGGGAGCTCCTTATTGGCCAGCTATAGCGTGTGGCCCGCATGTTACATTCTTCAACATGAAAGCTAGCTGAAATTATTGGGGTGGCGATCGCCGCCCCCCCCCCTGGCCCCTCCTAGCTTCCGCCACTGAAGTTATGTATGTTTCTACAGGCAGTACAGCGAAGCGTGCTGAACTTCGCAAGCCAGGCGCGCCTGGAGTACTTTTCTTGCAAGTGGAATATGATCCAGCTTCTCGCATGAAATGTAACGCAAAACTTATTATTGATGACATTCAGTATAGCAGGAAGTCGGGTCATGATAAATACGAATTTAGAACAGTTTCTTTCACTATTTCTTGTTGGAAATTACATTTTATCACGCAAAACTATAACACGTAAACAGACGCAAGAAACAGACTCCTCTACCACCCCTCCCTGAGATCAATATCAATTCGTCCTGCAAAATCTGCGTGACACGTAACCAGCTCCGACCAGAGTCTTTCGTCCACAAGAGGTTGAAATGCAGTTTGCTGAAGTAATATATAGCTCTCATAAATGATGCAAATATTAATATATAAGTTTTTTCTTACATACCTGAATCCCAGTTTTGGTCAGTGTATCCTCCAAAAATACAATCATTGGCTTTCACCAGAACCACTGTCGGTCCTTTATTGTCACAATGTTTGTGAAAATCGTTAGCTCTCCAACCATCTCTGGAAGCTCTGTAACAAAGATTCCATTTACACTTCTCTCCCAACCATTTCTGTAGTTGTTTCACGAAGGCAATCTCTCCTTTCAAAATACTAGATGACTTTTTTAGATTGCACATTGCAGAAACAGAACCTACAGTAAACAACGAATTTTATGTAAGTTATAATTATGTAATAGCATATATATTTGTTATGAAATAGCAACTAACTTTAATGTAATATAAAAAACGGTTTCCACTAATTACTTGGGCTACTATGGTAGCCCAAGTCTAGAAATGGGCTTTCTACTTTCCATGTCGAGAAATTGCAGTCATGCACATTAGCTGCCACACATTTCATGTGACATTACACCAAGTATATCTCCTGTAGTCTACGTCAATTGTTGTTGTTGTCCTTGAAAATAATGTTGTCCCTGAGGTGTAATTTCTTCGAAGATTTTACTGCAATTCGCTGGTGTTTAATTGTGGTTTGGTTCGCCATTGCTAGGAGATCGTGCAAATTGTTCTACAGTTAATCGAATGAAAACTATAAACGTGAACAATGACATGAAGTCGTGATATGAATCAACGCTCAACACTACATGGAAACGCTTTCAGCTTTGACTTGTATGAAATGTTTTGGAAACAATTTGCTTTCCCTTACTTTTTATTACTTTTAATCGTGCAAAATATATTTAATATAAGTTCTTTGATTCAATACATTTCAGTTTTACACACATTTTACGTGCTAATTTAGCTGACGACAAATTTACAATAAGAATGCTACTCGACAAAGACAAATATACTTTGCCTTAATACATTTCTATAAACTGTGAAATTCACACGACCACATCAGCAATTTGCTGCTCATTTTTAAATCGTGTTTAAATAAATATTTTTGATTGATTAATTGAAGTTAAACTGTCAAGCCTAGCTTGATGCTGTGAATCCGTCTTTGTGGTGGGAGTTCTGACAAGTGTGTGGAAATTGGTAAAACATACATTAGTGCTCATAATTGCACTGTAGACACCATTACCTGATATTTCATCCTATCCACCACTCTAGCCTAGTTATGCTATTTTAATTTTTAACCCATTGAGCCGCAATGCACCCCAGTGCGTCCGGCTTATTGGCTGATTTGACTGATTTACAGGAAATAGGCAGCCCAAATTAGGAATAAAACTAGAGTAAATAAACAACATTTTAATATTATACACAGACGTAGGCAGCTCTAAAACGATTAACACATTTTTATTCTACGTTTTGACTAACTTGCAGTCATCGTCAGGAACGACGCCACTGAAATTCAAATATTTACGTCGATTTTACACGGATAAAGAAGTTTTGGGCTCTGGGAAGTTAACAAGACTATTTGCCAATGCGTATTGTCAATTCGCTATGTCACAATTGGTGCTCTATAGCCCTTTCTTGATTTTCACTTGTTTTTACACTAATGCTCCGATCATATGTACAGTATATTGAAACACTACCTTGGTCTGTGTAACGCCAGACGACCTTACTCCTAGCGAGCAAGTGTTGGGCAATTATTGAAATACCTAAATTTAATTAGCTGCACAGTTCCTATACCATTTTTAAGTTAGATCCAGCCTGAAAATCGACATAAAAAAATAAAAATTCCTGGTGAAAACGAATTCTTGTGTATCCTTAACATTCCTATTCTGTAAAGGAAAATAATTTATGTACTAACAATAATACGAAAACATAAGTAACTCTGAGATCTTAAATTCTGACTATAACATCTTCAGGAAAGACAGAGTAGGACGAAATGGCGGCGGGGCCTTGGTTGCAACCAAATCAAGTTCGTTTAGCTCGGTTAAGGAATTCGTCTCAAACCTGGATGACGTAAAAAAATTAGAGATTGTTTCAGCAATAGTGAAAACTGCGTCAAACCAAAATATCCTCTTCTCTTCTTGCTACAGACCACCTGACACTGAACGAACTTGGACAAGCACACTCAACACATTCCTGGATCAAGTTTGCGATCAGTTTAAAAACGTAGTGATATCCGGTGATTTTAATCTACCCAACATCTCGTGGGATGCAACATTGAATGCATCTGGTGCGAACGAAGCGAACTTTGTTGACATACTTGATGACCACTATTTCACTCAAGTAAACACCATCCCTACTCGTGCCAACAAAATTCTAGATCTTGTTATCACAACTGTTCCAGAATCAGTCACTGTGTCTGAAGTACTTCCCCCAGAGACAACTGAAATAATGACGGATCACTCAACAGTCCTTTACGAGTTTTCTGAGAATATTAAAGCAAAACCAAAAGCTGGGAGGTATGTCTATAACTACAACGCTGGTGACTTTGAAGGACTGCGACGTGCATTGAACGCAATCAATCTGACGTCTCTCGTTGAACATGCCATAGATATCAACATCGCCTGGCAACAATGGAAAGGAGCGTTTTTAACAGCCGTTTCACATTATATACCGATGAAAAAGATCAAAGGACGCAATCCAGCTCCATGGGTTAATGGTACTATTCTTAACGCCATAAGAAAGAAAGACTCAGCTCGGCAAAAACTTAAGGCTTCTCCAAACAATTTTCGACTACAGCAGCAATTCAAAACCTTGCGATCTGAAGTCAAGCATATGTTGCGGAAAAGTCGGGAAAAGTTTTTCAACAATTTAGGAACTGACATTAAACAAAATCCAAAGCGTTTCGGGTCGGTTTTGAAAAGAAGCTCAAAGACAAGAAACATCCCTGACATTATTTCATCCGCAAACAACGTCAACACACCTGGTCCAAATACAGCACAACGAACGGCGGCCGATAATCCAGATGGTATAGCAAACATGTTCAACCACTACTTTGCGTCAGTATTTTCAACAAAGAAAGCTAACGAGGAAGACGTCATTGAGTCTGACGAGCCAATCATGACTGATCTAACATTTAGTGAAGAAGAAGTTTCTTATGTGTTGAGATCACTTGATTCAAGCAAAGCAACAGGTCCTGATGGTATTCCTGCAAGACTACTGAGGGAAACAGCAGATGTGATAACACCTTCCCTGTGCAAGCTGTTCAATATATCAGTTATTTCAGGAACAATACCAGATGAATGGAAATTGGCTAATATTGTGCCCGTGCACAAGAAAGGTGACAAAGAGTATGCTGAGAACTATCGCCCAATTTCCCTATTATGTATTACATCGAAACTTCTGGAACGCTGTGTCCTAAACAACATAAAAACTCGTTTGTATGATGCAGTTAACATGTGTCAACATGGGTTCATGGCCGGGAGATCTTGCATATCAAACCTCATCGACACTCTTGACTACGTTGGATCGTGTTTAGACAGTGGAGGACATATAGACATGATTTATATGGATATGTCAAAGGCATTCGACAAGGTCGATAATGATGTATTAATACGAAAGCTGCAGAAAGACTATGGTTTTGGAGGTAATCTCCTCAGATGGTTTCGTTGCTATCTAGAAAATCGTAAACAACGTGTTACAGTGTTAGGAGCAACGTCAGACCTACTTCCTGTCACGTCTGGTGTACCGCAAGGTTCAATACTTGGTTCAGCATTGTTCCTCCTCTACATCAATGATCTGCCAAGCAATGTGAAGTCAAGTCGTGTTGCAATGTTTGCGGACGATACCAAAGTCTTCAAGGCAATACAATCGCCCAATGATGCAATAAAGTTACAGGAAGATATCACTAACTTGGGGATCTGGTCATCTGAATCTGGCTTACAATTCAACGAAGCAAAATGCAAGGCACAATCCATTACCCGTAAAACCAATCCAATCCCTACCACCTATTTTATGAATGACGCTCCACTAGCATCAATTAAGCATGAACGTGATCTTGGTGTCTGGATATCTTCCGATTTGACATTGAACAAGCATGTCAACGAACAGTGTGGACAAGCAAATAAAATGCTTAGCTACATCAGACGGAACACACGAACAATTAACAGCATTAAAACAAGAAGAACCATTTACCTGTCACTGGTACGATCACATCTTGGTTACGCGACGCAAGTCTGGACACCCCAATCTACCGAACTTCTGCTCAAACTAGAAAAACCTCAAAGACGTGCAACAAAATACATTCTTAATCTTCCATTTATTAGTTCAGTAAATTACAAATCCAGATTGCAAACTCTCCATCTACTGCCCATATGTTACTGGCATGAATACCTTGATATGATTCATTTCTTCAAAGTAACTCATGGCATTACCAGCTCGTCCTTTGCCTTGCACGCCAAGACAACAAGATATACAAGATCGTCCACTAACACGAAAGGTGTAAAGTACGAAGTCCCGCGGTGCAAAACAACAACCTACCAAAGATCATACTGGATAAGAACCATCAGAACATGGAACACATTGACGGTCATACTTGACTTGAGTATGGAGAACTTCAACGCATTCAAGTCTGTAATGCGAGAGTACTACCATACTGCATTAACGAACACATACGATTGTGATGATGTACGAACTTTTAAAACGATTTGCCCGAAATGCAATAGAGCAAAGACTTTAACAAACTCGATGAACTGTTGTTTTTAGTCTCTATGGTTTAATTGTTATTTGTGTTATTGATATTTGTCTCTTAACGTTTTGGGCCCGCAGTAATTGGTTTCAGGCTGTTGCGGATACCCAACCATCAACTCAGTTTATGTCATTGTGTTATATATATAATTTATATATAATGTGTAATATATATAAATTATATATGTGTAATATATATAATTTATATATATATATATATATATATATATATATATATATATATATATATATATATATATATATATATATATATATATATATATATATATATATATATATATATATATATATATATATAATTATATATATATATAATAATTTTTATTTATATTGGTTAATCCGTTAGTGGTAGCGGTAGTGGAAGTCAAATCTGAACCTCTATAATGTACTGACGGTAATATACCGTAAATTGCACATACCTTCCACATGTCCCAACTTATCAACAATTTCATCAACATTGATATTACCAATGTCGTCCGGTACATACTGAATACTATCATCATTCACTGCGACCAGATTCTCTGGTTGTTGATTGCTCAATTTCTCGATTTTCTCATCAATCAATTTTTGTGATGAGAGCATTTCTTCAATACTTCCTCTCTTGAGGAGATTTCTTGGCAAGGACACTGAAGCTTGAACTTTATCAAGATAGCCTTTCATTTCATCATGTTGTTTGCTCAGTTCACTGTGTAATTCACCATAAACCTTGTCCACTTCCTCGTTCATTTTCTCTGCTTTCCGGTCAAGTTTTTCTGCCACAATCTTCAAGATATTTTCCTTTTGTTGTTTGATTTGATCTTTAGCAGTTTTGGCATTCTTTTCAAGAGACTTCATCACCTCACAGATGTTGTTTAACACTTCCTTTCCTTCAGCTAATTTCTCGTCAAGTGTTGTGCAGCTTGATTGCAATGTTTCTCTTTGCTTCTCTGTGATTTTGCGCATTGCCACACAAGAATGGTTTGGTTTCTGATGATTCAACACTACACAATCTATACAGCAAAGTTCTTTGCATGTTTCACAATAGTATTCGAGTATTTTGTCTTCGTGTTTTGCACAATAAAGCTTTCTTCTCATTTTTACTTGACTTTCAGGATTGCTCAGTTCCTGTACAGACAACACGTTATGGCTTAATTTCATAATCGCTATCCAACTATCATGCGACTCTGAACATTTCTTACACATAAATATTTCACATGATGCGCAGTGATTAATGGCAGGATCTTGGCAGCGTGAACATGCAGTAGACGCTTTGGCTTTTTGTTGAATCGCCATAATTTCCAGCATATTCTTGATGAAATAATTGCTTGGCAGTTCAGCAACATCTTGGTTTGATCTGAGAGTAAACTCTGAGCGACATGTAGGACATGGAAATGTCTCCATGTTCTTGTCAGCACCACGAAAACGTTTAACATACTTTCCTAAACAACAATGTACGGACGCTTAAAATA